CAGTTTGCAGGACTGCCAGCTCACCAGCATAAAAATTCACTTTAAAAGTAAAGCCAGGAGAAGATCTCCATTGGGTTCACTGGAAAAATTGGGGATTGTTGGCTTGTGCCAAAGATCACAACAACGTGCAGAAAAGGTTTGCCTCATTAGAGAGAGAGAGAGAGAGAGAGAGCTGGGTTTGCAAAGCATCCAGGATATCCTGCCTCCAAAAGTGTGGCTGTTCTGGGATCCTCTTTTTATGGCTGGATAATCTGGGGACCTGAGCCTGCCAGTCCAGCTTGTTTCTGACCTGCTGAGTCACTCTGGCCCTGGGGCTTCCAGGCTGCGAAAGTGTAGGGACTACAGTGCCACGGATTGGGTGCCAGCTCCCTTTCAGGTCAGCGCTTTGACAGGTGTTAGGTTGGGTTCACTTTCATATGTTTTGTGACTACAGGAACCCATGTTGGTTCCAAAAGGGAGTTTTATGCCCACGTGAGCTATAGATTAATTTTCCTGCTCTTTTATTTCTCCTGAAGTTGTAAACAACTTCCAGGCAGAACTGGTTTTTCTAAGGGGTTTCCCGGGCAAGTGTATAAAAGACTGCCCCAAACATGGCCTCAGCGCTGTCCGTCTGAGTGGCAGCCAGGGACGGTCACAGTCCATGGGTCTTACCTGCAGGCATTTATCCATCTTAGTGATAAAAGGGCTCGACACGAGAGAAGGAGAAGATACAGTACAACACTTACCCTTTGTCATCATCCGCCACTGTTCTCCTGGACGCATCATCTGCTGTATCCCGTGGTCCCGAAGGAACATCAAGGGACTCCTTTGAGGTCCTCTCCAAAGGCTTGCCATTAGCCAGAGGATTGAGGTCCCAAGCATCTGTCATCACTTTGATCTGAGAAGAAGGTTTTTTATATCTGTTTTATAGGGTTGAGTTTGGGGGTAATCACTGTATTGTCCCATTTTGCTGTTTATTCCCCTTCTTATTTGTCCCACTCTTTGTTATAAACCCTTCAACACACTTTATTTGATTTTACCTTACTGATTGACTCCTCATTATTTAGGGTGGGAGGGGTCCTCTTTGCAGGAGAAGGGGCCCTACCAGATGATAGATGCTGGACAGGGAGACTGAACCTAGGGAGACAGAAAGCATAAGGGTCTCTTGTTTTACCACACATACACTCTCTCTCTCTCCTCCTTTGCCTTTCAGTCCTTTCCCCCTCTAACACAGGCAAGTGGACCATGAAGATGGGCCCAGTTCACGCTACCCTGGAGCCGTAGCACAGAGCCATGCCGCTGAGCTCACTGGGAACAAGGGTCTCAGGACACAGGCCCTGCCGAAGGAAAGGGCTGCAGATCAGCATGCCCAATTATTCATTTAACACAAATTCCCCATCCCTTTTTGCTGTTCATCTGTGATCCAGTCCTTATCATTCCTCATCCAGACACTTTCACTGAGTGGGGCAGTTGTAGGACTGCTGTGTATTAGCCCATGAACACAGATGTGTATTAAGAGTCTGACTATTGTGAGTAGCCTGGCCAATACAATAAAGCCAGTGTAGGATTACTAGGATTTCCTGTATGACTGTATTGATCCAAAGTAACAGGGGGCTGTGGGAAGAGCAAACTGGAAAGCAATACAATAGGGAGACCCTAGCATATTCTTGAAAGAGAGTGGTGCAAATGGTTAGCTTCCAGGATCCCGTCTCATCTCTCAAGCTTCCTTAAGAGGAGCCTGGTGATCAAAAGAACACGTCAGAGTTTAAAAGTCCTTTTCGGGGAAAGGGGGGTGGAAAGGGGGTCACTGTCAGAAGCTGTCTAGAGAGACAGGCTGACACAAAGAGAGGGACCCTGTGGAGGGAGTCTAAGCAGTAGGCCCCTCCCAAAGCCAGGGAATAGAAACCCTTTGGAAAAGCGAGCTGTGCCCACAGTCTGTTTTGTTGGTTTTAAGGTCTGTTTTCTCTCAAATACTTTTGTTCTAAATAAATGATGCTTGGCTTGGAGGAAGCTGTTTGGTCACTGATTAGTACAGTCATTGCCCCAGAGGGCACAGACTTGCAAGACATATCATGCTTGCTGTGGTTGTTACTCAGAGGACTTCAACGCTGGGTGATTCTGGCTCGAGACTGATGGCCAGAAGCCTGGAGAGGATGCACCCAGAGAGATCAGGAGGGAATCGGAGATGCAGTTAGCCTGGTTCCTGGGATAACAGGATTTGATATAACAGATTTCAGCATGCGGGTCAATTGTGAGCCATCCTTTCCGACTCTTCACTCTTCATAACTTGTTGTGAGCGGTCACCTAAGTCACATGGTATTGTCTCTGCTCCCTGATTGGATGGGTGAAACTTTTGAAACAGCAGAACAACAAATAGCAAACACCAGGGTTGAACGTGAAAATGGTGTGGGAGGGAAGTGCAGCCACTTTCCAAACAGTCAGGCAGATGATCTCTTGCCCACACATTAAAGCTGGACCTACAGACCCCCATGCTGTGATAGCCCTGAGCCTCCACTGAAACCCTCGCAATGCTCCTCAGCCTTGACCTAAAGCAGCTGAAACTGTCCTAATTCTAGGTTTCCACATAGCTGTGCTGACTCACCCAGTCCTTGGCCTCTCATGCTCAGTGGTGCCAGATTATACAGTGGTTTTATGATGCAGATAAATGGCCACTGAGACTAGACTGGAAGCTGCCCAACTCACTCAAAGGTTTTTCCCCTTCTGAATTTGAACCCAGGTCTCTAGAGATGATGTGTTGGTGAGTGTACACGAGCCACACGCTTGGTTCCTGGCAGGGATTGAACTGGGGACCTCGGCGGCAAAACACGAGTCACTCCAGCATGAGCTAAAGAGCCAGACTTGAGGTGGGCTGCAACAAACTCATATCCTCTCTGGCCTGGGCACACACCACACACAGTGATGTTGGACTAGCACTGCTCCTGCTTCTTATTCCTTCTGATAGGTTGGCCTCTTAGAAACAAATACAAACCCCAGGCTGGACCAATGCAGGGCACGCTGCAAAATCTAAAGGCGCCTGTCCTGCTTACAAGGTTAAATGTGACAGCACCTGTTCCCAGGGTGGCCAGAGATATGGGGAGCTCCAGTCACAATGGAGGATAGATAGCCTGGCAGGACAATCAGGACATGAAGCCAATCACTGCTCCTGTCTCAAACGTCCAATTACTGTCCGTTCAATTCAGATTTGAAGCCAGCCAGATGGGCTATGGGAGCAGCTTTCACTCCTTCTGCCTGGACTCTGAAAGGCACATTATTCTATTTGTTAAATACTGGAATATGACCGGGGGACAGAAGGGGAGAAAAATGATTGTGTGTGTCATAGACCTGCCCATTCTGTCTGTCCATGAGCTCAAGGGGCTCACACAGCCACTAAACAGAAGGGCTGATTCTCAGGTGCACTAAGGAGTCTTTACACCATGCTAGCAGAGTACAGGGTCTTCAAGCAAGTGCAAATGTAATGTACTCATACTTTAAGGCCCCTTTACAGCAGCAGAGCAACGTCAAGCAGCTGTAGTGTAAATAAGAGTCCGGTCCAGAATGTAACAACTAGATAAGAGATCTGGTCCTGCCAACCTTACTCGGGACAGCAGGGATGGCCCCTAAATTCAGATCCCCTTTCATATTCTTGTATGGTAGGCGGTTCCCCTCACCTGGTTACATGTCCGGAGACAGCATCTGACCATAAAAACATCCAAGATCTAAAACTTTTCCAGATGTATGAGAAATCATTAGTGACTCCAGAATCCATTCAAAAGTCACACTCGTCCCCCTAGAGAGGATTAAGATGTGATCAAAGAAATCACTTGATCCAGGCAGGTTCATCCACAAACCTCTACATTTTTTCCCAGCAGGACCCTGTCCCCATCCCTCCCATGCATCACAGGCACATGGACTCCCTCTCTCCTGCCCCCGCGCCCCGCCTGACACAACAAGCAGCACTACACCCGGCAGAGTGGTGTGGGGACTTTGCGGTTCTCATCTACGACCCAGTCCTGCAGTCCTCACCCAGACCAATCTTGGCTGGAGTTTTTGCCTGACTAAAGGCTGCAGGATTTGGTCTTTGTTGCAAGGAGAGAGAACGCTCTCTTCTCCCTGCTATAACTTGGAGATAGAAAAACAGAATAAGGATCTTAGGCAAATCACTTCCCATTTCTGTGCCTCAGTTTCTCCAGCTGTAGCATGGGGATAATGATCCCCACCCCCAACTCACTGGGGTGTTGTGAGGATTAAGCAATGTTTGCACAGTGTTAGGTGTTACTACTACCCACAAATCAGAGAACGGCCAGATATGTCCCAGTGAGTCAGCCCGCCGCACAGTTCCTGATGCATTGGCAAAGCGCAGCCTGGCTCTGTGTTTGGATAAAGCACACTGTTATTCAGCTCCTTCAGAGAGCCTGATGTGCGTCAGAGGTGCAGTCTCTCGTTGTAGCTGCCTCCTCTGTGACTTTAAAGGGGGTTCTAACCTGACCTCCTCTGGGAAGATGCTCTCAAAACAAACAGACATCAGCCTACTCATGAGCTGGCAGGCAAAGAGGGCGGGTGTGGGTGGATGAGTCTGCACGCATGGATGTGTGAGGGGTAACAGCAGAAAGGGGAAGCTCTAAACTCCCCTGAAGTCAGGGGCACATTTTAAGGAAAAGGGAGGGGCTGCTTCTGTTCTAACTTGTGGCCAGTTTCATGATGTTGCCAATACATTGTACCAGTGGTGACACAAATAGTGTGCATTTGTCTCGTGCCGCTCACCTCAAAGAAACCGAACATATTTGATAATCTTCAACTAGTGTCCAGCTTCCACAGAGACATCACTTTATCCACCAACTGAAATGCAGCCACTTCTGGGATGAAACACATCAGCTGCTGAATAGCCCACAACACCTCAATGCATTTGGCTGGGGAAAGAATCCTGCTTCAGGCTGAAACTTCATGGGGAGCTTAGGAAGGAAAAGTGCAATTACCAGGCTCTGAATTTGGCCAGGAGAACAGAGGTAAAACACCCACACCCATGAACACCTTTACTTTTGCGAAAAAGTCAGGAGTTCTTTAATGAGAACCACTGGACAGGTTAACAGCCAAAAGACAGTCCCTCCAACATCGTCTTGGGGCACCAGCTCCATGCAGATTAGAAGAAAAGAGTGCCATCATCATTAGTACTGCAATGCCTTGGCGGTTCTTGGGAAGTGTCTCAGACAAGTACTGACCCTTCTTGATCCTATTTAGCATGTAAGAGCTAATGGGATAACAGCAGAGAACCATTGAGGGGCTGGAAGACACCTCAAGAGACCATCCACTCCTTCCCCTCATGCTGAGGCAGGATTGAGTACACCTAGTCCAGCCCTGACAGGTGTTTAACCTGGTCTTAAAAACTTTCGATAACAGGGATTTCACAACCTCCCTTCCAGCACTCAACGATCCTTAGAGTTAGGAAGTTTTTCCTAATATCTAACCTAAATCTCCCTTGCTGCAAACTCAGCTGATTACTTCTTGTCTGGTGGATAGCAGCTGATCACCTTCCTCTTGATAACAACCTTTTACATATTTGAAGACTGTGGTCATGTCCCCCTGCAGCCTTCTCTTCTCTAGACTAAACATGCCCACTTCCTTCAACCCTTCCTCATAGGTCATGTTTTCCAAACCTCTTATCGTTGTTGTTACTCTCCTCTGGACTCTCTCCAATTTGCTCACTTCTCTACTAAAGTGTGATGGCCAAAACTGGGCACAGTACTCCAGAGTATTCCTCACCAGTGCTGAGTGGAGCAGAACTACTATCTTACATATGACACTCCTGTTCACACATCCCAGAATGGCATTTACCTTTTTTGCAACAGCACCACACTGTTGATTCGGATTCAATTTGTGATCCGCTATAAATCCCAGATCAGTTTCTGCAGTACTGCTCCCTAGCCAGTTGTTCCCCATTTTATATTTGTGCATTGGATTTTTCCTTCCTAAGTACAGTACTTTGCATTTGTCTTTATTGAATGTCATCTTATTGATTGCAGACCAATTCTCCAATTTATCAAGATCATTTTGAATTCTAATCCTGTCTTCCACTGTGCTTGCAAGCCCTCCCAGCTTGGTATCATCCACACATTTGATAAGTGCTCTCTCCCCTCTATTATCCAAGTCATTAATGAAAATACTGAATAGGACCAGACTCAGGACAGACCCCCCACGGGACCCATTAGATGCAACCTCCCTGTTTGACAGTGAGTTATTGATAACTACTTTTTCAGCATGAAGTATTGCAATTGTGAATCATTTGTACACTCCTCTGGCACATGTTAAGCAGCACACAGCCCATCTCAGTATAGGAAATATGTTATTTCCACCCCCTATGGGAAAGGAGAGTCTATAGACTTTTCCCCCTTTGCGCTCTCCTATGCAAAGCCCAGATGATTCTTCTCCAATGTGCGGTCTATAATATATAGGACTGTATTTCAGGCTTATATTTCAATAGTCACAGCCCGCTTCAGCCCTGAGGGACCTCAAAGACAGACACAGACTCAGAGAAATGAGTCCTCCACCCGCCTCCCTGCATGTCAAAAACAAGAAGTGAGTTCACACCACTCAGGTCTGGTGGGATGATGAGAAATGTGGATCCCAAACTTTGAGACCTACTCATTTGACAAGAGAGCGCAGCATGCACAACTTTCTACAATAGGGCCATTCAAGACAAACAGTCCACTCCAGAGCCCCTGGGATCCAGCTCAACCTCTACCACAGGAGTGGGTAAACCTCACCTGAAGTCTGTGAGCTCTGTAATGGGGTCTCCTTTCTTCTTGAATACAAAGGTTCAGTCCATAGAGTCTACAAGCCCTGGCATAAAATTAGGTTCAAGCTTGCATCTCCATGTGAAAGATGAGAGTGGCTGCAATTCTGTTGCTTTATAACGGTTCTTGGGTTCCTGACACACTGTCCATGTTGCTCTTGGCTCGGCAGCTCCAATGGCTGCACAGCTTGGAATTCCCCTGAATCGTTTCTAACACAAACCAGCAGCTCTGTTTATGTTCACTCCCCTCTTTTCCTTCCATCGTTTGCAAACATGGGATTCATTTTGCAGGGGCTTTTCCACTGCTGTGCCTCCTGGGTCTAGCTCCAAGACCTTGGCTGATGCGCCATCTGGTGTTCATACAAACAAATGCAATGAAGCAGAGGTTAGAGTTGGAGGTACACTCCTCAGAGTGGCTTAAAACACTCTTCGGCCTATACACAATTTTTGTACAGCTGGAACTATTTTGGATAAGGATGTGATTTTTTTAAACCGATATAATTACACTGGTACAACCCCTGGCGTGGGCAGTTATACCGGTAAGCAGGTGCCTTATACCAGAATCGCTATTCCCCTTCCCATACAGAAATAGCTATACCAGTGTCACAGTTTGGTGCAACTGCACCTGTATTTCCTCTCCGTGGGCCAGCAAGGGCACCCACTCTAGGCTCCCAGCTGTTGCTGCTGTTGAGTTGAGGTACACCCCCCTCTCCCCCTTGTGAACAGTTCCCTGCTTTCACTGTGTATTTCCCAGCACAAGGACACCTGCTTGCTTCATCTTCAGAGATGGTTTATCCCAAAATTTTTTCTTTGTCTGTTGGCCCCTGGAGAATCCAGTTGGAACCAGTATATGCACATCTCTCCTGGGGGATAGCTTCAAAGGGTTGATAACAGAGGAAGTACATTAGCATCTAGAGAAGGTACATACAAAGCCACAATAATACACACTTAATTGCATTTTTAATATAATATACCCCAAAGATATTAACCCTAATTCAATAAGGTTTAATTTAATTCAATAAAGTTTCTTAATTCCATAAGATTTGTTCAGGATACTGCAGGGAATTGTCAGCCTGTCACAACCAGTATAAACGCCTGTATGTCGATATCACTGCCTCCGTGTGTAGACGAGCCCTGAGATGAGCTATAGCCCGATCCTCTCTACTGCCTTGCAACATGTGCACTCATTGACATACCCATGCAAAGTGGGTGTGCAGTGCAACCATCCTGAATTGGTAGCATTTCACAGCCACTTCACACTCACTTTGCACAGGTATAAATTACACCTCCAAGTGCAGGGCAACAGAGAATGAGGCCTGGGGTGTGAAAAATGATCAGATGGATTTTCTCTCATTGAGCTTTGCCTGCTAATGAGTGGGAAAGTTCCTTTTCGAGCTCTTCTCCTGACAATGATATTAACTATGCCCTTTTGGATCTTAACTTTGTTATTAAGCTGAGGACCATGTGGTGCACTAGTTAAAGCTGGAAATTTGGAAACAGGACTTCTGTGCTAAAAACACTTGTCTACCTCAGAGGTACACCGTGAGGATGAGCTGATAAGTGTTGTGTAAAGCTCTATGGATGAGAGGCACTCTGAAAGTGGAATCTTGAATCTCTTTTTCATGTCTTTTTCCCCCCTGCAAACTGATGTAGAAGCTTGTAGCTGATCTGCAATATAATAAACAATAATACAGAGCTTTTACATAGCACTTTTCATCAGTAGATCTCAAAGCATTTACAAAGGAGGTCAGTATCATTATTTCCATTTTACAGATGGGGAAATTGAGGGCTCATGAACATAGAGTGACCTGTCTGAGGTCATCCAGAAAGCCAGTGGCAGAGCCAGGAACAGAACCCAGGTCTCATGGGTACCAATCCAGGGCTCGGCCAACTAGGCCATGCTGCTTGTCCCATAGTTATGTGTGGATGAATAAAGGCAAAGTAACAAACTTTTGATTGTAAGCTCTTTGGGGTAGAGCTTGTCTCTTACTGTGTATTTGTACAGCACTTAGCCCAATGGAGCCCCAGTCTTGAATGGCACCTCTGGCCATTACTGTAATAAAATAAATAATAAAGCACCTCTATTACCCTTTCTCTCCATACAACTTTAATAACTATATGGACCCAGTCTAGCCTCCCTAACTGCCGTCCATTTTCACCTCCAACCCCGCTTGTAAGTCAGTGGGATTGAGGAGCACATATCAGTTAAACACCGATTACTATATGCTCGTATCATTGATAAAAATATTTTCAGCTTAATCAAATTGTACTCCCTTGAGGAGGCAGGGGGCACAGTTTAAAGGCCAGGGCTCTGATTCTTCAGAGCCCTGCACCTTGTTTATTCATTTACACCAGCGCAAAGTGAGTGTATCATGCTATTACAGGAGAATGGTAGCACATGCACCGCTTTTGTGACTATACAAGGGAGCACAGTAATGGAGAATTAGACCAAACTCGTTCCATTGTATCTAGATACGTTCCATTGTATCTAAAACAACTCTTACCTTGTTTCACCAATAGAGCCTAGAGGCCTGTGACTGGGAAAAAGATATATTTCTTAGGAGGTCGAGCACGAAGGAGATGAGGTCTCACCAAATATGTATGTTAAATGCTCACTCTTCCATGGAAGACTAGATGCCACTTTAAACTGTGGGACAGAACACAAGTACAGAGGAGAAGCTTGCTGCAGTCTGAGTCATATGCGTTTGGGTCTCACATTGCTGTGGCTGGAGGTTCTCCCCCCGGGACAAGATTCTGAACTCCCCTTTCAAATGTGTTAATTGGAAACTTGGAGATGCGCAAAAGAAGGGGAGCTGACCAGGGTGCTGAAGGACAGTATTAATCCAAACCCATCACCCCAAGTGCTGAAAGGTGCTCGTTGGCCAATGGAGTTCCAGCTGAGTGTGGTTGAAAGAAGTGGAGTTTGATAATTATTTGACAATTCAAACATTAACAGATCCAACACATGGACCCTGGTTTGTACCGGTCAGCAGGAGCACAGATAACAGGGAGTTTGGGCTAAGTTATAAACCAGTTAGAGCACTGGAATACACTAGTTAATCAATATACAAAGCATTCCGGGACTATGAACATTGGGGCTACTCAATAAAAACTTCCAGATAATCAATGAGATTTCTTGGAGAAAATCACAGGCACAAGCCTGAAAGATTCCTGTTGACTACAGTGCGTTATGGATCTGGTCCTTGGAAAAGAAAGCTTAAAACTCCGGCTTGCTATTTTTTTTTCATATCCACCCTTAGTTTTCTGGTTATTTTTTGGTGCCATTACCCTCACACACTCCTGCCTGTTAATTGTTTCTCCAGGACACAGGCACCATGCCTACTTATCCACCCATGTTGCAGTGAACACTCCTCTCCAAGTTCCTGGCAGTGTCCTTTTCGGCAATGATGATAACCAGTTCTTATAGAGTGATTTTCATCCAGAGGTCTCAAAGTACTTTACCAAGAGGTCAGCATCATTATCCCCTGAGACAGGCAAAGTGACTTGCCCAAGATCACACAGTAGAGCAGTGGCAGAGCCAGGAACACAAGCTGGATCTTGAGGGCTTGAACCAGGTCTCCACTAGGCCAGCCTGCCCCCCACAGGTTTTTCTGTCTGCCTCTTGTTGCCTTGATTCTCAGAGCACCTAGCACCCATCACATCAGTACAGGAAATCAAAGGAATGGCTGTACCCATCTTCCCCTTGTTGGCTCAGGTCTCCATTTTGTATGTCTTCCCCTTCCTATCCCCCTCCTCCTTTTATCCTCTCAACATTTCTATTTCTCCCCTTGGTCTGTTGCATCTCTCTTCCTCCTGCTCTTATCTCTCTTCTCTCCTTTTCTACTGATCTTCTCCCTGACCGTCAGCCCCTACAGGAGAGTAAAAAGGCTATGCCACAGGGTGCACCACTCACTGCTTCTCTGGCAGCTCCTCCTGGTCACTTTGGGGATTAGCTCTCGAGGTCACACCCCTTTCCGTGGTTGCACGCTGTCACACCGTCTCAGGTCTGCAGCTCCTCTCTCACTCCAAGAACTATAGCATCCTCTTCATGATTCAGCCCTCTGGCCAGGTCACTCAGCATTCCCCCCTTACACGGTACAGTCCCCCAGAGTCTCTGTCACTCCCCATAGTGACCCAACCAGTCTTCCAGTTCACTGCCCCTCCAGTGCCACTTCCCCCATGGTGGGTAGGGAAACCCAGGCCTGCCATCTATTCCAGGTTCCAGTCCAAGGACCCTCCATCTGGCAGTTCTGGGCTTTACTCTTCCAACCCTCACTGGTCTTTCTCTGGACTGTTTCCTACCTTTCCTGGTTCTCACTTGCTGGGATATACCAACTCCAAACACTCCTCCCTTTTCCCAGGGAGTGACTGCCCCTTTCCCAGCAGCCCCTGTCTCTTGCCAGTTTCCTGGTCGTATAAGCCCCACCTATTCCTGCACAGCTGAACCTGCTTGCAATCAAGTCCCTGCTCCCTGGCTCTTCCTCCAGGGCAGCCTGTGGAGTTACTAGGCCTGTATGACTAGCTTAGCCCCTTCGAGTCCTATGTGGGATGGACACCCCATTGCAGGCAACCATCCCCAGCCATCAGCCGGTGAAAGGGAGACACCAAATCTTTAATACAAGTCTTGACTGGTAAAGCTGGCTGGAATTTTTCCAACAAAAAGCTTTTTTAATTGAAAAATCAGATTTAGTCAAAACCAAGAGTAATCACTTCTGTCAGTAATATTGTGGCGGAGGGGTTGTTGAAAAAAAATCAGCATTTTACAAAACCTGAAATTTTTCCACAGGGGAAAAATCATTTTCTAACCATCTTTACTGGTCATTGCAGAGGAAATGATTTCAAATGTTTGCCCAGAGGACGAGTTTGTTTCTGGTTTTCGAGCCTACACACGTCCTGTTCCTGATCTGGGACTTTGCATATCCTCTCCAGTTGACCAAGCCATGCAGGGCATGGAGACTGCAGCTGCTCAGAACGACCCTGAGACACCTTGCCGGGGCCGCGCTGTCAAGGGAACCTGCTCTGTAGAGGGCTTCACTTTAAAAAGGAACAAGATGCTCTCCCCCCGGTATCTGCTGGCGAAAGGTTCAGTCCTGCAAGGTGCTGAGCGCCCTCCACTCCTGCAGAAGTCAGTGGGATTCAAGGAGCTCAGCACCTCATGGGATCAAGCTGCAAACGTGCAGGGTCTTGAGGGCCTGCTATGCCCAGTGAGGCATGAGCCCACAGTGTGGCAGTAGACACACTAACAGCTCCCTCTAGAAATCTCAAGGCTGGGATCCTGTTCAGCTGCTGCACGAGAGCATGAAGGAGTGGGTCGAAGAAGCTCGCCACCCCCCCCACACACTCCCCAACAGGGACATAACCCGGCTCAGGATGGGACTTTCCTCTTAGGCTAACACCAAATATAATAATGTGATGATGACTCAACTCTTGTTATTGCATCAGTGGCTTACCCAGGCTAATGGGAACTAGCCTCCAGCTCTCAGAACAGCCTGAGATTGCAGAAACACATCAGGAAGTCACGTTCGGATGCCTTCCCCTTTGCTTTCACCGAGCCAGGCTGTCATTCAACTCCTGCCATGAAGCTTCTGAACGTGGCTGGATTCTTCGCTCTGGCGCCCACTTTGGTGCCAGCTCTGGAGCCCATCACCACCTCACTTGCTTTCTGCGGGGCAGCTGTCATGTGGCAGCTCTTCTCCCCTGCCTCCTGGCTCAAGTGCCGCTTCCTGGAGTGCTGCAACATGAAGGACACCCTGGACATCCCAGGTAATAGCAGCAGAAAGTGATGACGTGGGCGGAGGAATCCGAGGGACCTGCCGACCTTAGGAATGCTCTTGCATTCTGGGTGAAGGGATTCTAACAGGGGCAGTGCAGGCTGCCTTCTCATGACCACCCTCCCCCCAGCCGCGCTGGCCATGCCCCTCCTCCCATGCCACAGGTCTTTGCTGGCAGAGAAGAAGTTGCAGACACCTCATGTCACAACAACTTCTCCTTTGATGGACTTTTCCCTTGCCAGGAATCCCCTGCTTTATGCTGGCATAATCCAGGAGTGAATTGAAGGCCGTGAGCTAATTAATCCTCCCAATGCCCCTGCTTCCAGCTGAGCACCCAAACACTTCACAACCAGGAGTGGCAGAAACTTCCTAAAAGTGTGTGTGTGTGGGTGGGGAGGCAGCGGTGCATGAAACGTGGCCCCCCCATGCCACCCTTTCCCCCTGATGCCCCGTCCCTTCCTGCACCTCCTCTCCCCCCAAGACTTCGCCCCCCCGCTTGCTCCTCTCCACCCCCTCGCCCCTGTCGCTTGTAAAAAGTGGTGGGGCCATGGCCCCCCCTGTGCAGGGCCCAGCGTCACTGGTGAGAATGTTGGATGCATGAGTCAGGGCTAGAGGTCGGATAACAGCTCAGGACTGCTAGGTTCAGAGTCCCAGGCTTTCTCCACTAGCTCACCCTGCCTCTGAGCCCTGCAGTCTCTCAGTTTCATTTCTGTGAAGCAAGCAGCCTCCGCAGTGAAAGAGGAAGTTGAACAGCAGCTCTCGCCCTGCCTTCAGGACATTAGTGCCGAGAAGTGGAAACCGAAATGATCAATAAATGGCCTGTTGGAAACTTTCCATAAACCATGAGCCTCCCAGCCTAGGAAATCCCCTTTCTTGTGTTTTCAGCACCAGTAACACTGGGCCTTTAATTAACCCTTTCCCTGCAGGACTATAATGCAGATTCTGAGCCAGATCCTTTGCTGGTGAAAACTAGCATAGCTCCATTTACTTCAAGGTACACAGATTTCCTCCAGCCCTCCGCCTATAGGCAGTGTACCTTGAAGTGCTTTTTGCCACTGAAATGTCAGCTCTTCTTTGAGAACGGGGGGAGCAAGGGAGACATGTCTTACCTCACTTATTAGGTACCTTATGTGCCACCAAGATGGTTAAAGAGGATCCAGGAATTTCAACAAACATGTCCCCCTAGAACCTCAGGATCACATCCCAGGGCCATGTATGAGGCACCAGCTACAGTGATATTCCTATTGGGAGTCTCCAGGTATCCCGTGCAAGCTGCTTGGCTCCCATGAACAGTCACTGAGGACCAGATACAGGGTGCAGCTCAGTGCCTACAGCTCCCATTATACAGGGAAATGGCCCCACGATAATACTAACTGGGAATGTTTTCCCCATCTGTGGCTCAGGAGTAGCATGCGGATGGAGGGTCAATGAAGTGCTTCCTGATGCTGACCTCCCATCATGCCTCCAGCCCTGCAGATGGTTTTGGAACAGAAAGTATTTGGGCAGCACCTAGCCACCCAGGTGGTTCTGAAAGCACTGAGTGCACACTCCAGAGACAAACAGCCCAGGAAGCCCCTGGTGATGTCCTTCCATGGCTGGACTGGCACTGGCAAGTCCTTTGTCAGCAAGATCATTGCACGGAACCTGTACCAGAGTCATGAAGCAAGAAGGAGCTTCGTCCATCAGTTTGACGCGGTGTTGCATTTTCCACACGCTGAACATATAAAGCAGTATAAGGTACTTCCTTTGTGACTCTACTTCTTAATGGGGTGGATAGGTCAGGAATCCTGCATGCAGATTACATACGAGGCTGTACGTGCCCAGGGAATTTCAACATCGCTGTTCCCCATCCTGGACATCACCAGACAGTGCAGAGAGGAGTGAAAAATGATACAAAGTTCACCAAATTTGTTGAACCTCTCCAAACACTCGGGTTGGTTCAATGTTTGAACTGAGGTTCAAGACAGTTCTTGCTTTAGGCACACAGTTTGCCCCAAATTTATTACTGCAGGTCCTACATAAACAGTGCACTCTTTTAGAGGATTTAGACATTCGTCACTAGATTATAACATTTAGGAAGTAGGTCAAATTTGAGACCTATTCTATCCGACTATATCCTGTCAGCGAACAACAGCCCAAGGAATCTATAGGACTCATATACAGAGACAGAATTTACCACATCACATCAGATTATTGGTCCATCTTTTCAGTATTTCTGCCTCTCTCCCCCCGGCCCTATTCAACCAAAGCTCCCATTGACTTTAATGAGTTCAGGATTAGACCCTCTGGCAACGGTTAATACCTAATGTCTCATGGAAGTCAATATCCAGTATGCATCTGATGAAGTGAGCTGTAGCTCACGAAAGCTTATGCTCAAATAAATTGGTTAGTCTCTAAGGTGCCACAAGTACTCCTTTTCGTTTTGCGAATACAGACTAACACGGCTGTTACTCTGAAACCTGAAATATCCAGACAAATTCCTTGCCGACACACATGTAGGTACTGAGAGTCTGATCCTGCTCCCATTGAAGTCAATGAGAGACTCTTAACACATGAAATTTGATTACCTTTACGTATCGTTGGCATTACATTAATAGTACCTCCAAGATAGAGTACCGGTGGAATCCCCCACAAAAAAATAATCCAGCTCCAATCTTGATTTCCAGCTCCCCTTGCTCACCGACCCTCTTGCCCATCCCCACAGGAGCAGCTGCAGAACTGGATTCGAGGGAATGTCAGTGTCTGTCCGAGGTCGCTTTTTATTTTCTCAGAAATGGACCAGATGCCGCATGGCCTGATTGACTCCATCATGCCGTACCTCAGTCATCGCGAGGCTATCAATGGCATCTACTATGGCAAGGCCATCTTCCTCTTCCTGAAGTAAGGAAATCCAATGGTTAGTGAGTAACTGTGACCCGACAGAGTCAGCAAGGGCAAAGGGAGAAGCAGGTGCTAATAGGCTTTCACCAGGCTACAGTTTGATTGCACGGGTTCAGGTACCTTGCTGTACACTCTCTCCTTGGTCACCAAGAAGAGTCTGTCCGTATGTGATAACTGAACCTGTCCTACCCTCATGTCAGCCAGAAGAACTTATACCTCTACAATTATTCAGAGTGACAGGATCTCCTTCCTTCAGGACTGGTACAAATGTTACTGTTAGCCACTCCGGTACCTTATCTTTCTCCAATACCATCTTTTATATTTTTCCTAATGCTTTGACAGCACTTGTCCCACCAGATTTTAGCAGCTCAGCTTTATATTGTCTATTCCTGCAGCTTTCCCATTTGTAACTGCTTCACTGCTCTTTCCGGTTCTTCTTCTGATGAATACATATAGAAAGATACATATTGAGAGTCCATAATATTGAACAGAATTCATAAGTTGTGCATAGATTCCCCAAGTCATACTCACCCACTTAGGGTTCCTTCCATGCATGGATCTAGGGGGCACAGTCTGGCCCTTTGTGTTGTTCCTGAGATACTACTTTGCTGAGGGTCATTCTGATGATCCAGTTCATTTCTCTCCTAATAGTAACGCAGGAGGGGATAAGATAACAGAGGTGGCGCTCGATCATTGGAGGAGGCAGAAGGGAAGAGAAGAAATTCCCCTGACAGACCTGCAGTCTATGCTATCCGCTGAGATTTTCAATAACAGGAACAGTGAGTACTTCTGAGCTTGTGAGGTCCATGGGATCCCATGTATATTATCCAGCCCCAGTTCTCTGTGGAATGAGCCATGCAGTACTGATATGTAGCAATATATTCCTGCAACATAATTATTTTAAAGAACTCAACTGTAAACCTCCCCACATAGGTAAAATAGTGTTTGTAGAGTGTTTTCAGATCCCCAGATAGGAGGCTTTGTAGAAGAACAAAACATTGTGGTGACATGTGGTTATTCCAGCTATGCATGGACAGACATCTCTCTCTCTCTTTCCCTCCCACTCCTCCATCCCCAGGTGGTTTTTGGAATAGCAAGCTGATCCAGAAGAACCTGGTGGATTATTTCATCCCTTTCTTGCCCCTGGAATATAAACATGTGAAAAAGTGCATCCAAGAGGAGCTGCACTACCAAGGGCACCAAGAAGATGAAGACCTCATCATAAAGATTGCCTTAGCAATGTCCGACTATCCCAATGAAGACAGAATCTACTCTAGCAAAGGTTGCAAAACTGTGGCCTCAAAGGTGAACCTGGATACCTAGAACGGCCAAGTGCTCAAGGACAAGGAGGAAGAGAAAGCAAGTATCTTTTTCCTTCTCCCACCAGTATCTTCTCAAACTGTAAGCTTGTTGGGGCAGGAAACTGCCCTTTAATATATCTAAGCCTGTGGCACACTGTTACTGGAGAGAAAAGATAACTTCCTCATCTCAGCATAATACAGTACATCCTTTCCCTACCTTCCAAACATGCTGCTGTAAGTAAAATAAAATTAATATGGTATTTATTCTTAATTATCTCTCTGGATTCTTGACAAACCTCCCCTATCAAGATCAAAGGGAGGCAGTACAGAGTAGGCAGGGCAGATATGCCTGCCTTGTTTTTCCAGGGATATGAACAAAGGAAAAACAAAAGCAACAGAAGAAAAGGGACCCAATATAAAGAACTACTGACTCAGGTTTGCTTGCCCACTTAATTCCTCACCAGTCTCTATTAATGATGGTTGTGTGAGCTTTTGATTTTAAAAGCAAATCTAGAAAACTCTGGTTATGGACAGAGGTTTGCTAGAGAATAGGCCAGAGGTGCTATGGTTTAGAATGATGCTCTAAAAAGCTTGGAGCTCAAATAAGCCCCCCCACACTTCTAAGCTTTTTTTAAATCTTCCCTAACATTTTATTACAATATTTTTAAGGATCCTGTCAGGGAGATTCTTGGGGCAGGATAAGGGAGGGGAAGAAGATGAGTTTCTTGATCTCTGCCAAAATACCCATCAACTTAGATCCTTAAACGTACACGCACCAATTATACAGAGTGTTTCCTTGCTGCAATTCACTCTGATGGTATAATGAAGATACCTTAGTCAGTTATGCTTTTGGTGCAAGTCAGTTTAATTTTCTAGCCTCTTCTTGCAATGTTTTCGTTACAAACACACTAGGGGAATGTTTGAATCCCAACAATAAACCCTTTTTTATACTGAGTCAAACAAATCATGAAAGGTTTCTGTCAGTGTCAGGTTTTGAAAAACTACTTTTTACACCACCTACATTTTTGCCCTGGATTAATACTTGATCATTTCCTTGTAACTCCTCCCTGACAAAGCACCAACGAAGTATTTTTAGCACAAGAAATATGACTCTGATGGAACTGAAAAGAATGCAAGACAAAAAAGCAAACACCGAGTGTGACGAAGTGGGAATGTTCTTAATGTTTTCTCTGAATACTATGTGGGTGCCTCAGTTTCCCCTATGCATTTCTTAAGTATCTAGGTGGTGAGATAAGGGTGTGTGATTGTTGCAGAGCCTTAGAGGATCAGAGGATCAGTGTGATGCTTTCTGCACATAAAATGGCTGACACCCTGTCTCCTGGCAACTGGTGGCCTGGGGCCCTCCCCTGAAAGTGCCAACTGAAGGTGTTGGAGAACAAAAAGATCAGGTGGCCTCCTGGCCCAGGAAAGAGACAAAAGCCAGAGGAGGGGCTGGAGAGTTTCAGTTTGGAGCTGGCTGGGGAAAGAGCGGGAGGCCCAGACCTGGGATCTGGCCTCCCTGCCCCCAAGATGGACCTGACTTAGGGGTCCTGTTTCTGTACCTACAAGCTCTGTTTCAAACTGTGTTCCTATTATCTAATAAACCTTCTGTTTTACTGGCTGGCTGAGAGTCACATCTGACTGTGAAATTGGGGTGCAGGGCCCACTGGCTTCCCCAGGAGCCACGCCTGTGCGGACTTGCTGTGGGAAGTGCACAGTGTGACAAGGGGATACTGAATGCTCCGACGTCAGACCCAGGAAGGTCGAAGCTGTGTAAGCTTCTTGCCCTGGAGACAGTATGCTCACAGAGAGGAGGCATGCTCCCCCAGAGTCCTGACTGGCTTCGTATGGAGTAGTTCCAGAGCATTGCCCGGTGACTCTGTGACACCGAGGTTACTTAAAGACTTGTCTGCCGAGAGGAAATGTACAGCTGAAAAATGCAGAAGCCGCTTAATTTGGACAGTTTGACACCCATTAAAACTTGCAGAAATAAAACTGAGGAAGCAAAAATACAAAATGAAACTTGCTTAGTAAAGGGGAGCAAATGGAAAGCCTGATTCTAATCTCACACCCTTTTACACTCCACTGATTTAAATGGAGTTACTTGTGATTTACACCAATGTGAATTTCCAATTAAGCCAAGGGGAGTCTTTTTGCTGATTTCAGTTGGACTTGGATCTAGCTAAATGAGATCAGAATGAGCCCCAGAGTTCTTAAACATACACCAAAGGTGACTGGGGCTAGTGATCTGGGCACAATAGTGACTCAACTTCACTTCTGCTGAAATCCTCATCCATGCTTCCATCTTCACTCGCCTTGTCTATTATAATGCTCTTTTCTATTGTCTTTCAAGCGGTCAGTTCACCAGTTGCTACCTGCTTTCTTAAATGTACAAAGAAACACAATGATGTCACCCTCATCCTCAAACAACTATACTTGCAACTGCTGGAATTTTAAAATGAAATTTTCCCTCTGGCTCTTTTGTCTTGGTGGTTGTAGGATTTAGTGCAGTTTGGGAAGTCCTTTGTGTATTTACCCGTGGCTGGCTCACTGTTTACTCTCTTTTGTAATAGTCTGCAATGATTTACCTCTCCCATCTGTGGGTGTTGGCACGGGGCACTCTGCTGCTGCTGCTGCTGCGGACGTGTAGCTTTCAAACTGTAATGGTAAACAAATAAGAGAGATTTCAGAGGAACAGCCGTGTTAGTCTGTATTCGCAAAAAGAAAAGGAGGACTTGTGGCACCTTAGAGACTAACCAATTTATTTGAGCATGAGCTTTCGTGAGCCACAGCTCACTTCATCAGATGTGTACCGTGGAAACATCTGATGAAGTGAGCTGTGGCTCACGAAAGCTCATGCTCAAATAAATTGGTTAGTCTCTAAGGTGCCACAAGTACTCCTTTTCTTTTTGCAAATAAGAGAGAAGCACGGTTCAGACAGGTTCAAACTATTCCTGTGCATGGTGAGGAAAGGTATCCGCGCTGACACTTTACATGAAAAGGAAGGTATCTTCTGGGCTGTGATAGACACATCATGCGGGAGAATGTCTGTGGGATCCGAGAAAGGGTGCAACTCTGCCACCTGCAGAGCTCATTCCATGGGAGCCTTTGTGGGAGAACGGGGATTGTGATGAGAACATTTTACTCTGACGTCATCGTGTTGCACCATGAGGTGAGAACAGGCTGGCTGGCGTCACAGCCGGGGGGGGCGGGGGGAACGACACACAGGCTTTTCAGCTGGTCTCCTGCGCCCCAAGGGGATGCTGTGTCGCAACCTGTGGTGGCACCAGCACCCCCAGAGCTGTGAGGGAAACAGGCTGTAATACGCACCCCCCTTCCAGGGAGGATGGGAAACAATCAGGGGAAACCAGGCTCCTCAATGGAGCCAGAAGCCAGCGCACCGCTTCACCTAGGCTTGGTCTGGGCAGAACATACGTCCCTGCCCCTATCCCTGACCCCCCCACCCCCTTCCAAGCCGTTGCCTGCATCCGCCCCTCACAAAGATAGCAGGAGGAAGCGTGTGCGCGCGGGGCGGAAGTAGCTGTCGCCCGAACGCTCCCTCCCGCGCTTTTCCAGCACGGGAATCTACATCACCCCTCACAAAGATGGCGGCGAAGCGCCGCGCGGGGCGGAAGTGCTGGGCGCGGCGCAGGGGCCGCCGGGAGTCGTAGTTTCTACCGGGCCCCGGCGGCGAGCCGCTGCCTCCCTCGCGGTCGAGGCCGGCCCGCTGAAGCCGCCATGCAGCTGCTGCTGGGGCTGCTCTGGCTCCTGCCGCCGGGCTCGGCCGCGCTGGAGCCCATCAGCCTGAGCATCGCCATCGGGGCGGCCTCGGTGCTCACCGGCTACCTCTCCTACCCCAGCTTCTACTGCGGCTTCGTGGAGTGCTGCCCCGGGGCGGCGGACCGGCCCAATACCACCGGTACCGGGCCAGGGGGGCCGAGCCCTAGCCGGGGGAGGGGGACCGGACCAGGCCGGGGAGCTGGAGCAGAACCGGGGGGAGCCGAGGCGGGGGGCTGGCCCAACGGAACCGGGATCGAACCCCAGGGGACTGGGTCGGTGCTGCCGAGGGCGCTAGCTCCAGGCTGGAACTGGGGGGCAGGGACACCAGGGGCAGAGCGGGACCCGGCCAGCGAGCCTTGGGGGACTAGCAGCCCCAGGCTGGCCCGGTGGAGGGGACATGGGAGGAGGGAGAGCTGCTTGGGATAGACCCGGGCTTCAAAGGGAAGGTGCCTGGCTTACTGGAAAGAGTGGAGAACTGGGGTCAGCACCCCAGGGTGCTACTCCCAGCCCTGCTACTCATTTGCAATGTGACCTTGAGAAAAGCCCTAGCCTTCTCTGTCTGAAGTTTCCCCATCTGTGAAATGGGGCTGATACTTCAGGTACCGCAGCTGGACATTCTGGGAGCCACATTCATTAGCGTTCTTAAAACACTTCGAGATCCTTGATGTAAGTGCAAATCAATATCTGGCTCTGTTTTCCTAGCGCAGTTACCGAGGCCCCTCTAATGTTTCCTAGTGTGGGCTAAAGATACCAGACTGCCCAGAGAGAGAAATGGGATTAATGATGCCATTCAATTTGCAAGCCATTTTCTGAAATCTTTGTTCTTCTCAAATGACCTTTTTTCTTTTTCTCCTTGGATTCTTCAGCACTGAAGGAGGATCTGGATAATAAACTCTTTGGACAGCACCTTGCCAAAGACGTGATCCTGAAAGCAGTGACTGGATTCAGAAATAACCCAAATCCCAAAAAGCCACTTGTTCTCTCCCTACACGGCTGGGGAGGCACGGGTAAAAACTTTGTCAGCCAATTCATCGCAAAAAGCATTCACAAAGCGGGACAGAAAAGCAAATTTGTTCATCTCTTTATAGCCACACTACACTTCCCACATGAACATCAGATTCAACTGTATAAGGTAAGAGAGCAAATTTTAACTTCCCCTTGGTGATATTAGTAAATATTAATCATTAAAACGCTATCCTGTGAAATTAGATTGTTCCTGATGTACAAATCCATAGGTGTCTGAAGATCTCAAATAACAAACTCTTGTATCCAGCTAGTGTTTCTGTGTATTTTCAAACATTCACTGATAAGTTTGTGGAGGTGGAATCTAAATATTCCCCTGCAGTGCTAGAAACTGGAACACAACAGCACTGAGTTAAATGCTAAGAAATGGAAAGTGAAACAGACAAGTCTGTTTACTCTTGCTTTTCAGTGTTCCTCAAAGGATTAAAAGTTACTTCCTTGCCTACCTTCCCCTGGGGTTACCCATCACGTTTCTTTTTACAGCTTTCACTATTGTGAAATGTCCTTTGCTCAAGCTAAATGAGGTGACTGTAAGGAACAGTAATTTCAGAGGCTTATAAGTGACTGATGCTGATCACCTTGTTTATTCCCTGCAATTTCCATGAAAAGGATAGTCACAGACTGAAAGTTACGTACTCAAAGCATCTTTAAATGTTTAAAACTGAACATTTCAGGAATCTATTTTTGATGGTTGTTTGTTTTTTATTATTAGCCAAGTAGATGGTAGAAGTAGTACTGTAGAAGAAATTTCTTCCTTTCCCCTGTATGGTCTTCCATTTGAACCACGATCTTCATGCTTTAACTGTTCAACTGAGGTTGGAAGGAATAATGCGCTTTATGGTGACTCTCATCAAATAACTGGAACAGGATTCACATCCTAGCAGCATGTGAAGGTAGTGGTCGTATTCCTCCCTTCTGGAAGCTGGATATAATCAGAGCATTGAAAGGATCATTACTCACACCCCCTCCCAGGTGTTTTTTGCGCTTTCTACAAGTGGGACCTAGTTTTTTAATGTGTGTTTCTCGTTTGTTCCAGGATCAATTGCAAACGTGGATTCGGGGTAACGTGAGCGCCTGTGCCAGGTCCGTGTTCGTATTTGATGAAATGGATAAACTGCACCCTGGCCTCATTGATGCCATCAAGCCATTCTTAGACTATTATGAGCAGATTGATGGGGTATCCTACCGGAGAGCCATCTTTATCTTTCTCAGGTTTGTTGTCTGTCTACCATGGCAAATCCAGGGTCACCTGCGCCTTCACTGTCACTGTGGTATGTGTCTTGGCCACGAAGAACTTCCAAGCATCAGCAGGAATAGAACCCAGATTCTTCTGTCAAAAAGCATGTGCTATCTGAGCTAAAGAAGAATGTCCATTAGCTGTCTGCATTGCAGGGCCTATGATACAGTTGAGCAATTCTGCCTCCATCCAGCAAAGGACTGTAGTGCATAACACCTTAAAGTGGGCCAATCTGATAGTCTAGTCTAGTAATCTATACAGCAGATTGGAGATCAGATCCTGAATCTGTCCCTCATTCCATGTGCTGGGAGCTTCACTACAGGGTGGTGGAGAGACTACTTTGCATCACTCAGAGGGCCCATCACATGTGCTTAGCTGATGATTTCTTTTGAGAGGGAGCTATGTGACCATTTCTTCTGAGCAAGAGGTATTGTGGCTCAGAACCAACGCTGTAAGGACAATGTGGAATTTAGTCCTAAATGACTTTGGCATTGGTTTAAGGTTTTTATTCTAGTGACATAGTGCTTGCCATGCAGACAAACATTAGACCAGACAAGTGTTAAATGTAATCCTGCTAGAGAAGAGATGCTGGACTCTTCCTGTCTTGGGTCTGTACTAAACTCTTTCTCTCATGAACAGTAATGCCGGTGGGGATTTAATTAATAAAGCAGCTCTGGACTTCTGGAGGAGTGGAAAAGACAGGAAGCAGATTCAGCTGAAAGACCTGGAGCCTCTGTTATCTGTAGCAGTCTTCAATAATAAGAATAGTGAGTTACTTTCCCAATGAGTGGGAGGTTCTTTTACTTCATAACTCCACAGAAAATCCTCGCTCGGTGTGTGCTGCTCCAGCTTGCCTCTTTAACTGTGTAATATTGTTGTACTCGCACTCCCACGCACTTAGGCCCAGATACTGCCAGGCTCTGAGCACAACAATTCATTGATTTCACTGGATGCTTGGCACATTTCAGGAGGCACTCTGCAGCTCTCAGGATCGGGTCCTCACCCAACAGAATGTTTGTTTCAGGGAGACTGTTGGGAATGATGCCCAATGTTTTCCACCTCTGCGGATTGACCTGAGTTTATAACCTAACTTGGGTCCCAGTGAAAATGATGTTAGATGATCCCAGCCTGGTTCTTAGAAGATAGCTGCCTACCTGATAACTAGGGTCCAACCAAATTCAGGGTTCATTTTGGTCAATTTCATGGTCATGGGATTTTAAAAATCATAAATTTCATGATTTCAGCTATTTGAATCTGAAATGTCATGGTGTTATAACGGTAAGGGTCCTGACCCAAAAAGGAGTTGTTGGGGGGAGGTTGCAAGGTTATCATGGGGAGTGGGTTGAGGTACTGCTACCCTGACTTGTGTGCTGCTGCTCACGCCAGCGCTGCCTTCAGAGCTGAGCTGCTGGAGAGCGGTGGCTGCTGGTTGGGAGACCAACTCTGAAGGCAGAGCGGCCGCCAGCAGCAGCACAGATGTAAGCGTGGCCTGGTCTGGTGTTGCCACCCTTCCTTCTGCGCTGCTGCCTGCAGAGCTGGGCCCTGAGTCAGCAGCTGCCACTGTCCAGTCACCCAGCTCTGAAGGGAGCAGCACAGAAGGAAGGGTGGCATGGTATGG